AGCTCCCTCTGCCTCCCTGTGGCAGGTCTGCCTCTGGCCTGTATCCCCGGACTCACTGGGACTGACTGGGACTGACAGCACCCCAGGGGAACAGCTCCCACAGACCCGCCCGCCTGGCTCCTCCCCACACAGCAACCACGGAGCAGCTCCAAGCTGGTCCTGTGCTGAGCTTGACGGCCTGTTCTCAGGGCCTCGCTGCCTGGCATCTCTGGGGCATCCTTTCCCGGTGATTGCCTGCCCCCAGTCGCTGTGTATCTCTGGGCCTTCTCCCCGGGAGACTGTGTGTCTGCCCCTGTCAGCAGATCCCAGGTGGCAGAGCTGTGGGATGGGGGAGGAGGGTGACCTTGAGGGTGTGGGTTTGCCTCCACAGATGCGCTATGTGCTATGAGGAGGTGTTGATGGGGGTGTGGTCTTGTGTGTACAGAGGGAGCAGCCTCTGTAGGTTGTGTTGATTGGGTGCCTGTGTTTGTGTGTGTGTGTGGTGTGTGTTGCATTGCATGTATTGGAAAATATTATTTGGGGGTATGTATTTGTTGGAGGTGTGTGTGTGTGATGTGTGCTGTTTTTGTTTGTGTGTATATTGTATGTTGTTTGGAAGTGTTGGGTGTCTGTGTGCTTGTTGTACATGTGTTACATGTGTTTCATTGGTTTTATTTGTGTTAGACATCTGTTTTCTTTGCGAGCATGCTGGTGTGCTGTGTGTGCATACATTGATCATTGATAATGCGTGTTGACCGTGTGTGTGTGTGTGTGTGTGTGTGTGTGTGTGTGTGTGTGTAGGCGGGTAGGCGCTCTGGGTCACAGAGAGCGGGCTGTGGCCCAGAGCCGCGGGAGGGCGCTGTGGAGGAGGCGCCGGGCTGAGAGGGTCCTGCCAGCCTGGAGGGGCTCCGCGCTGGGGAAGGGGAGCGGTCCCGGAGCGGAAGGAAATCCGAGGTTCTGAGCGAGGCCCGAGGTGCCCCAGAGAATGGACACTCGGTGGTCGGGGCGGGAGGGGAGCAGGTGAAGGTGCTGCCGGGGCCTGGGGCCCAGCCTCGGTGTGCGCGGCCGGGAGGGCGGGGACGGAGCCGGAGACCGCAGCGCCCGGAGGCGGCCAGGCCGGCGCCAGCCGCCAAGTTGAAAGGCGGCCTCGGAGGCTGGGGCAGGGCGCGGGCCGCCCGCTCACCTCCGCGCTGCGGGGGGTCCTTCGGTGCATTGCGGGGGGGGGGGGGGGGGTGATGGAGGTGGTGGGATGGTCCTGGCACCATTCGCAGCTTCTCAGCCATAAGGTTTGTCTTCATGGGGCCTCTGGCGCGACCTGGGCCTTCAGCCCCGTGGTGGCGAGCAGAGCAGAGAAAGGAACCCCAAAACAGGGCGCTCGTAGCCACCCCCTCCCCCAGCTTCACGGACACCCGCCGACCCACCGGGGCTGGGAGCGCGCGTCTCCCCAGGGCGCGGCCTCTCTGGCCCCGCCAGCGCGGCCAGAGCTGGGTTTGCAGACGGAGGCTGGTCTCCTCCCCAACGACACGAAAACGCCTCCAGGGATGGGGTGCAGGGAGGGGAGACGCCCGCTCCCCCCAGGGGCTGCGCTTGCTCCGGGTCGGAACGGGAAGGAGTTCCATTCGCGGAGCGAGGGCGGCCCGTTTGCAGCGACCTGCGTGCCTGGCCGGTCTCCGCAGCCGGAGCAGGCCCGGCTCTCCCCACCCTCAGGGAGAGGAGCTGGGGGGCCCTGATGGGGGGGAGGGAGGTCCCGGAGTGGAATCCGTGTTCGAATCCCTGCCCTGCCCGTCCCTGGCTGTGTGACCTGGAGGATCAGGTCACCTCCCTGGACCGCAGCCTCTCCCTGGGGAGGCATCCCCGGGGTCTGGGGAGGCGGGAGAGGCTGCTGGTGCGGGGCCTCCTGCGGGCGCGGCGGGTGGAGACTCGCGTGATTGACCCGCCGAGGACCGGGCCTGGGACCCCGCAGCCCGCCCCGCCCTGGCGGATGGACCAGCGACGGTCTTTGAAGGCTGGGGTGGGGGGAAAGCAGTGCCCGGGCCCCGCCGCCAATTGGACGGGACTGGCGGGACCTGGCCGGGGGCGCTCCACTCGCACCCGGACCCAGCGAACACTGAGTGAGCGCTTTCTGAGCGCACGTCCCGTCCGGAGAGGGGATTCAACGGAAGAGGGGGCAAAGAGAGGGCTGGACGAGAAAAGAAAAATGGGAAAACGAAGGGGCATCGGAGTGGGAGGAAACCCGGACCCCGGGCGGCGGCGGGGGCGGGGGTGGACGGGCGGGGTCCCTCCTCCTCCCGCCGAGCCCCTGGGAGGGGGAGGGGGCGCGCCAGCCTCGCCTGCAGCTACCGCCTCGCTGGAGCCAGGGCGCTTCTGCGGAGCGCGGGCCTCGCTCATTATGCAATTATGCTGCTCTGACTCTGCCCGGACCCTAAATTGCCAAGTCCCAGCCGGAGGAGACACCGGAACGAGCCCCACTGCTCCCCTTTTCCTGCGCGCGCGCTGCCGGCACTCTGGTGCCACGAACAAACGCATTGCCAACTGAGAACATTCAGATCTACCGGGTATTCCCTGGGCACCGCCTGCACAGGGCTGGCTGACATTTCTCCAAAACTCTGAGGGCCGGGGTGGGGGGTGGGGGGGGGATTCCCGGGCCCATTTCACAGATGAGAAAACTGAGGACCCATGAGATGGAGGACGGAGGGGTCTTTTCTACCCAAAGTCAGGCAGCTGCAGGGTTGGGCTGACTTCAAGTTCAATGTTCTCCCCAGGAAAGGAGAGGCTCCAGAGAGGAATCCATAAGGTTTGTGGGGGGCAGGGTGGGCCCCCTGTGCATGGCCACTGGTCGGTTAATGTATTTGCGGGGGGAGGGGGGAGTCCTACCTGAACTCGCAAGCAGCAGCAAGTGCCTCAGCCCTCACTGTCTTTCAAGGGCCGCGTGCGCCTGGGAGTCTGAAACTGTTTAAGACGGGGCTCTGGGCGCTTCTCTTGGGGACCAAGGGGCTCAGATTCGGGTTCTGGCCAGAGCCCGGAGCTGCCCAGACCACCTTGGTGCCAGGGAACCGCACTCCCCAGCAAGCTAGCTTTCTTCCTTAAGCGGGGGAGGGGGAGCTGTGGCAAGTTCAGACTGCAGGCCCACTTGGAGAAAGGAATATTTCAGAGCCAGGGAGGCTGAAGGATTGGAGACCCTGGGTACCTTGGAGCCTGCCCGGCGCCCGCCCGCCCGCCCGCCCGCTCAGGATGCCTCCTCTGGGGAGTTGCCAGGCGAACCACCTTCGGTCCCGCATGTCCCCAGCGCGCCCCACACGGGTTTCCACCCCTTTGTCTCCGTGGAGATGTCCCCAACGCTTGGAACTTCAACTCCAACAGCCCTTCCTCTGCCGCCTTCCCGGCTTCATAATGCCCGCCTCGCTGCCAGGGCTGCCTGGCGGTCCTTCCGAGCTGTTTGGAGGCGCCAGCCACTGCGGACCGAGGCGGGGTGGCGGGAGGAGGTGTGCACAGGTCTGGGGAGAATTAAGTCTCGAAAGAGAACAGAGCGGTGCCTGGAGCTTCGTTGACTAAAAGGGCAACATCCTTACAGACCCGTCTCCCGCTCCCCCCAGAAGGCTACACTTGGCGCTCGCTCCAATGTATTCTCCTGAAAGCTTGAGGTTCTATATTAAAAGAAAAACCACGTTTGTGAGGGTTTGGAGGTAGGGCTCATGCGGGGACACGCAAAGGCGGGGAGCAATCGCCCTGGGCTTTCGTGTTTTTACCCCCCACTCCCCCCAGGGGTCGGGCCAGGTCTTAATCGGGGGTGTGAAGGCGCTCACATTCTGGCAGCTCAAAATTAGTTCCACAAACCCTGCCGGGGCGGCAAGTTCAAGCGGCAAAGCCACCCCTGCACCCCACCTGGCCTCCGGTGGGAACAGCGGGCCGAGGGGCGGGAATTGTCTGGATTAGCTGTCTGCAGGCATCAGACCATTTGGGTGACTCGCTTTGTTTTCGGAGACGGGTTAAAAGGGGGAAGAAAAAAGAAAGCATCGGTTCTGGGTCGCCTGAACAAGTGTCGATTTCAGCTTAAAGTGAATTGGAAAATTGAGCCTAATTATCCCAGGTAATTGCTTCAATTCTCCACTTGACTTTGCTGATGCGGATCTGTGCGGAAAGACACCCCCTCCTGTCCCCGCGGATCCCGTGGGCACCTCGGCCAGCCGCTGGGATGAAACCACCATCACCCGGAAAAGCAACCAACCGAAGGCGAGGCGGCGAGAAAGACAATCCCAAGACTCAATCAGATCCATCCTTGTAGCTTAAAATTAATTTATTTAACAAATATAGCTATAATATAAATGATAATAAAATTTCAAATATACAGTATATTACACCCGATCCCTTCCAAAGGGATTCTGGAGAGCCACACAAATGTACTGTTAAATAGAAAGGGGATTTTTAAATTTTTATTTTACAATTTTTTTTTCTGGTACTGGTGAGAGAGAGGTCCCTTCAACCTACCTTCGCAATGCATCTGTGTACCCCTGCCCCCCAACCCATGGCACACGCTTTGCCGCTAAAGTCCTAAGTGTTCCCATGGAAGGACGGAATCCGTATCTCCTGGCATGCTCTTCTCTCCCAGGGTCCTCCGTTCCAACATCTTCCAACGTGAATTTCCGTGCTTTTCCCCGCCTGGTGTCAGGCCGGGAGGCAGAGGTGCCGGAGAAGTGGCCTCTGGTCCTGACCCAACCACTAACTCTGCTGGGGACCCGGCAGCGGGTCCATGTCTTAACCTCTCTGGCCTCAGTTTCCCCATCTGTCACACGAGGGGGTGGGTCTAGATTCTAGAACAGCAGAAGCGACCCTTCCAGTCACGTTTCTGGGAAAGGATGGGACTTCGGAGAGTGAAATCAGGGAGCAGAGTGGGAGCTAAAGGAGGGAGCCGGGCGGTGCTGGAGAGGGGAGCTCGCTGGGCGGGGAGGCCCCTGCTGCTTGCAGGAGGCCAGGGCTGGAGGGATCAGCGGGTGCCACCCACGGGTGGGTGACCCTGGGACGCTCTATGTCAGGTGGTACATGCTGTAGCCCACATGGGCCGTGTACAGTCCCACGGGCGCCACGGGCAGCGCGGCGCGCTGGAAGGGGCCGGAGGCGCCGTAGAGCGAGGCGCCGGCCGCCGCAGCCACAGCGGCGGGGCCGCCCAGCGGGAAGGAGAGGCCGAAGGCGGCCGGGGGCAGCATGGGCTTGGCGGCCATCTTCAGCTTCTCCAGCTCGGCCTCCTGCAGTCTCTTGGCCTTGGCGCGGCGGTTCTGGAACCAGATCTTCACCTGCGTCTCGGTGAGGCTGAGCGAGCTGGAGAACTCGGCGCGCTCGGCGATGGACAGGTACTGCTTCTGCCGGAACTTGCGCTCCAGCGCCAGCAGCTGCGCCGTGGTGAAGGGCGTCCGCGGCTTGCGGTTGGTCTTGTGCTTGCGCAGGGTGCATGCTGGGGGGCTCAGGCGCCCTAGGAGGCCGAGAGAGAAAGGGGGGGGGGGGGTTAAGAGAGCGCGCGGGAGCGTCACCGCCCCCCTAAAAACCGGTTAATGATGGGGGACATTGCCGGCTATTCATGTGGCCCTTGGAGGGTATGTTCTCCAGGTCTCACCTCTGCCCAGAAGAGCAGACGTTCTTGTCTGCTTTTTGCAAATGAGGAAACTAAGAGTCCGGATGAAACATACCCTTGCTCAAGGCCCAAGCATAACTGGGAAGAGGTGAAACGGCCCCAATGCCAGATGGCCGCTCGGGCGGAGGGCCTGTCCCTCAGGACCTTCTCCCACTGCTGGACACATGGGGGCCATGGTGTTAATAAGGCTGGTGAGACACCCAGATGGAGGCCCTGCGTCTGGTCCAAGGCCGAAATGGGTGTGCTGGCCCAACACTCATCCGTGTCCGCCCAGCGCCCGGCTGGCTAGGCCACCGTGGCAGAATCCAGATCTCCAAATCCCAGTCTTCCCCATGGAGCAGTGAGCTCCTACAAGGGCTGCTGTCCCCAAGGTCACACCCAGGCCCAGTCCTGCGGTGTGGAGGGGGCTGCATTGGGAGGGGGCTTCTTCTGATCAATTGATCCTATGATCATCTCATTATCTCAGCTGTCGCTTGGGCCTCTCCCGCCCTTGGCCCTCTGGTCACCCTCAAATGTCAGGTCCAGTTGGAAGAGGTTGTGTGCACAGACATCCAGAGCGCAAAGCAGTCTTTTTCTTACGCCTTCAACATGGACTTCAAGCACCAGGGCCCCATGAGCCAGCCCGGGACAGGGCCCACTGGCCAGGCCAACCCCTGCCGCACCAGGCAGCTGCACCCAGATAAAATGGGGAACACATTTCGCCGAGGACCACAGGGATTCTGCCAACTTTGGGGTCCAGGCGAGGCCCTTGCCCAATCCCCAACTCCCAGAAAGGACATGTTGCCTACGCAGCCGCTTCTCTCCAGGGGGAAATGAATTCGAATCTGAAATGTTTCACCATGCGGGTTTTGCCTAATTATGCATTTTTTTCATGCCTTAAACAAATAAAAACAAGTGATCCTTTGGGTCCTCAGACCACCAGGATGTGAGTCAAACGAAAATTCGGGTTAACAGTCCCTCCTTCTTTCCCAATCAAAGACACGGAGAGAGAAGAGGGGGAAGCGGTTGGCCCCGGAGTCCATTTCCGCCAGGCCACCCGAGGGGCGGACATTCCTTCTGCCGGCGGCGCGGTGCGGGGCCATCTTCTCCGGCCATCAGGCCCGGGGAGGGGCTTGCCTTTCAAAGACGTTTTAATCCCCAGATAAAAATCATTCCTCAGCATCACGCCATTGAATTCGGGTTGCTATTATGCCGCAGCAAAATAATCGGAGGAAACGCGGAAAACTCGGGAATTTCCCGTGCTCCTGAAATATCTCCGAGCTGGTTCGCTGGGCAGAGCCGCCGGGGGCCGCCAGGCCCGGGCACGGCCCTGAGCGGCCTCGGGGAGCGGAGGGAGTCCGGGGCAGCGGCCCTGGCGGCACCCTTGGGCGCTTGCAGACGGATCAGAGGGGGCGCCTCCCACTAATGGAGTGGGTGCCCCGCCCCCTCCACTGGACCTGAGCATCCCCCTCCCCAACCCCTCCAAAGTACCAAGAATCGCCTGGAACTTGGAGGTGGGGGGAGGGGAGTTCTGCAAGAGCTCAGAACCTTTCCTGGGGGCGGCGGGGAGACTCTGCGCTCCTGCTGTGAGAAAGTGAAACTCCGCGTGCAGGGAAGATGTCGGCGCCGCCGGGACCCACCCGCTGGGCGAAGGCGAGGTGGCAGGGCTTAGGATCAATCGGACGGGGGAGCGGGGACTCCGAGGGTGGCTGGGTGGGGGCAGGAGGACAGAGGGCTGGGACACCCATGCCCTGCAAGTGAAGTCCGACCCGCACGGTGGCCTCGCCAAGGCCAGGAGCCCGCGCAAGTGGACCGACCCAGCGCTGGGCCTTAGCCAGGTCTCGAACCATCTTCCTGGGTGGAAGGGGGGATGCGCAAACCCCGATCTCCCCGCCATCCGTACACACAGCGCGGCTCCAGGTACCCGCAGCAGGTACCCGGCCCCGGAGACACGCAGGCGCCGGCGCGCGGCCTGGCGCCCCGGGGCCCCGCATCCCCGTTCGCCCGCCCCCCTTCTTCCCTCCCCCGCCGCCCGCTCCGGGCTACTCACTGGCTGGGGGCGGGGAGAAGCGGGGGCTCTGCATCCACGGGGTCCTCTCGGGCTTCTCGGGGCTCTCGGCTTTGACCAGCGCCTCTTCGGGGAGTTTGAGGAGTCCTCCCACCGAGAAATGGCCGAGCGGCCGCGGCGAGGACGGAGCGTCCGGGGCGCCCAGCGAGCCGGGCCGGGCGCCCAGGGGCTGCGCGGAGCCGCCCGCCGCCGCCGGCGCGCCCTCGGAGGCCGCCAGGGCGCTCTCCTTGGCCCCGGGCTTCCTGTGGTCGGCCATCAGCGCCTCCACGCTGAAGGGCAGGAGGGAAGGGGACGCTTTGGGCTTGGCCCCCTCCTCGTCGGTGCCCATGGCGGCCGCCGCTGCGATGCCGCTGGGGGCCGGGCCCCCGCCGCCCCCCGCCGGCTTGCCGAAGGCCGAGTCCTCCACTTTCACACCGAGTGGCACAGAAGTCATGTCAGCAGCCGGGGCCATGCAGAGCCGGGCCCCCCTCCAGCCGCGGCACCAGGTCAGCCGCCGGGCATGGGCTTGGGGCGGGCCGGGAGCGCGGCTGGCCTCGGAGTGCGCCCGGGGCCCTGGCCGGGCCGGCCGTCCCGCGCGCCTCCCGCCCCTCCCTCCCCAGAAGGCCGGCTCGCGCTCGCTCGGGGCCTGGCTCTCGGCGGGGCCGCTGCGCAGGCGGGGTTCCCGGGCGCGCTCGCCGGCTCCGGGTCGGGCCGCCGATTCCCAGGGAACTTGTTAATAAGGCGCGGCCAGCGCGGAGCCGGCCAATCAGCGCGCGAGGGGGCGGGCCCGCCGCGGCCCATTGGGCTAAGCTCCCGCGGACTTGCCCCCGGGCGCTCTGGGCCTCGGGGCGCGCGGGGCAGGGCGGGGCCCCGGAGGGCAGGGAAGGGAGGGGAGGGAAGAGGCGGGGAGGGGTGCGGGAGAAACTTTCCTCCGTGCCCGCCCAGGCTGCCTCTCCCTCTCTCTGGGTCCCCGTGGGCCTCTCTGTTTTCTGGGGGACCTTCCCTGGTCCTCGATCCTTCTCTTCTGCCCTCCTCCCTCCTCCCCTTCCCTTTTCCCCACGCCTCCCTTTTTTTCTCGACCCCTTTTCTTTTCTCCCTTCCACGCTTTTCTTACCTTTCTCTTCAGTTACTGTGTGTCTGTTCCTCTGTCCCCTCCCGTATCCGGCTCTCCCCTTCCCCACCCCGATCCTTTGAGTGGAGGTCATTTGTGACACATTCCTTTTACGGCTTTACACATTGCGGTTATTTATTCCAGCAGAAAGACGAACTAGGACTCGCTTTTCAAAAACACCTTTATTTCCTTTCTCTGCTCCCATCTTCGAACCGTTACCCTTGCGTGAAAGTGGGCCTTTGTCTCCTTCCGAGCGCTGGACTGAGGTTTGCCTCCGGAAGCCGGGCTCCCGGTGCTGTGGGTGTGACATAACTAGAATAACTACACACAGTATTATCCGGAATCAATAATCCATTTCCCTATAGGATTCGTACTTTCCGCCACCGCCACCCCCACCCCCGCCTGGCCCCCTCCTCGTCGGTGCCCCCGCGGGGGGGGGGGGGGTTGCAAACACCTCTGCTGGCCCCCGGCTGGGGGAAAGGAGCGGCCGGGTCCTTTTGCTATAGGATTTATTGAAATAAAACCAACAGGAACGTCAACAAAACCCTGATCTGGCCTCAACGTGACCTCAAACAGAGCATCCCTAGAAACAATAACAGCCCCTATCTCCGGCCGGCGATGGTCCTGGCAGGGGTGGGCGCATTTCAAGGGAAGGGGGTGGGTCTCCGCTCCAGAGCGTTCACGTTGCCAGCTTCTTTGGAGGAAACGTGATTTTATTCTCGCTTTTAGAAAACAGAGGAAAATGAGTAGGGGGCCTGGGGAGACGTCAGATTGAGGCAGGCAAACTCCGGTCAGGGCTCGGCCGTTTTCTGCGCCGCCGTTTTATGGCCTCTTATCCCGGAGCCCAGGCCCGCGGCTCCCGGGGAGCGCGCGGCCGTGATTGGCGGCGCTGCGGGCCGGGCCACTGATGGCTGCGGGGTTCTAATCTCCAGGAAACACAGGGGCTGCCGCGGCCATTTAGGGGTAATTATCCCGGCGCGGAGGGACGGCGAATTCCCTCGACTTTTAACTGGGCGCAATAAAAGCTGGAGATTAGGGCCGTCCAGATTAAGGAAAATGAATTACTTAGGAGCGGGAACTTTATTACCCGGACGGCGTCCGGGGTCTGGCGGGAGGGAGGGGCTGGGCCGCGGCCGCCAGGGCCATCAGCAGCCTCGCATCTGTCCACAGGCTCCGAGATAAGTTAGGGCCGTGGGGCGGGCGGGCTGGCTCGGGAATTCTCGCCTCGGTGACATGTAGGCCGCCTCTCTCCAGATTTCTTACCCACCGGAGGCTGCAGCCCTAGCGCCGGTCTGGGCTTGCAGCCTCCAGCTCCCCGCGGCGGGCCCAGCTGGAGGCGCGGGGCACCAAAGCGGAAGAAACGTGCATGGAGAGTCCTTCCCCCAGCTGGGAAACAGAAGCATGCCTGGGGGTACCGGGATGGGAGGCGGCACCAGCCACCCCATTGCTGAGCGAACTGGCTGACGCCCTGCAAGGCTGCAGGCCCCATGACTCGCTAGCGGCCGGCACTGCAATGACATTGCCTCTTGGTCTGTCCATCCCCCCCACCCTCCGATCTCAGGTTAAAAGGGGAGAGGAAACTGAGGCTTCTGTACTGTTTGGGTCAAAAAAAAAAAAAAAAAGCGAGCTTGCTGGGTTTGGCCCTTGCCTCCCATCTCCAAATGTTGGGGTCCCGCATCACGTTGATGATCCGATCTAGTGAAGAGGTTTCTCCCCAGAAAAACGCACCCAGGCCAACACCACGGGGGGGAGGGGGGCCGGGGGGCCCGCTCTTGGAGTCACTAGTGCGGAACCCCAGCCTGAGAGCGGAACAGGGGGCTCGAACCCCGCGCCAGGGGCCTCGCGGGACGCCTAGGGTCTCAGGCCGGTACCCTACGGCCTGGGCAGCGGAACGGGCCGGGGCCAGGGCCGGGACCGGGGCCGGGCCAGGGCCGCATGCTAATTGCGGGGATAAACAATCTGTCACGATCCCTCCGCGCGCCTCCCGGGCAGACGGGGATGTTGTTTTTAGGCGCCAGCGGCGGCGGCATCAAAGGCGGCGGCGGCGCACGGGCTCTTGAAGTCGCGCCCCCGCCTCCCGGGAGCGGAGCGAACCGCCTGCACCCGCAGCCCCCGGGCTCCCGCCGCCGCCGGCCTGCAGGCCTCCCGGGCCGGGCCCGAACCGCGTGGCATTTTTTGTTTTAGGTTCGGCGTGGGTTCGGGGCTGCTCCGGGCCGGCGCGGCGGCTTACAAGCGCGCGCGCACGCGGTGTCCAGCGACGGGAGTGTTTCTGCGGCGGGAAAAGGGTCCGGGGGCGACTCCACACGGACCCCTGCTCCGAAGAGCACCCCCTTCTCCCCGGCCGGCCTCGGGGCTGCGGGGAGACGCTCCGGGCCCCGGGGAAGGGAGGGAGAGCCACAGACACAGCACCCGTCCCCGGGCGCGCTGCCCCCGGGAGGACGCGCACACTTTGGGGGCAGGGAGAGGGGGCATCCTGGACGATTCTTCTTGCTGGGGGGCTTTTTGCATTTCCAGGGGGGGGGGTCCCTCGAGCTGATAAGGCCCGAGGCTGCGCTGCCATCTCGTCGCCAGCATGTGCCCGCTGGCCGGTCTCCGAGCGGCCGCAGCCGAGGCCCGGCGGTGACTCCCGCCCGGCAAGGGCAGGGCCGGCCCGCGGCGGGGAGAGCTCGGGGCCTGGGCTCCGCTTCCATCCCCGCGCCCTTCGCCCCGCGCCCCTCCCGCCTTTCCTCGCTCCGTCCACCTCTGTCGGGCATGCAGAGCGCTCCCGTCCCCCGACCCAGCAGCGCCTGGGCATTTGGGATCCGAACACCTAAACCAGGGGTGCCCGCCCCCGGGGGAGAGCCCGCGGATGGTCGGAGGGGGTCGGACGGCCCTGGAAGCCTGGTGGTGTTTGGGGGACTCCCCACCCCCCACTCCTACGCCCCATGGAGACGCATTTGTAGGGCGATCCGTCTGAAAGGCCGCTGTCCGTCTGGGAAGAGCCGCGGCGCGAGAGGCAGCCTGGCCCCTCACCTCCGTCGGGTTTTAGTTTTTTATTTTTATGCGCCCCCCCTCCCCTTACACACACACACACACACACACACACAAACACACCCACCCCTTTTCCAGCGCGTTTTGTGGCCTCGGCCCAGGAACCTCGCGCGCATTTTTTAAAACGCGCGGCTCAGTGGGAACCCCGGGCAATTAGCGAGGCCCGAACAGCCTCTTTAACGGGATGAATGTGCTATGAAAACCGATTACCCGGAACGCTTTATTTCGGTGGGAATTCGCCGATCTCCGGGAGGGCGGGGGGGGGGGGGAGAAGGGGCAGAAGAGGGACTTTGTCCCCGGGGCAGGAGGCTGCGGCGGAGACAGCGCGGGCCCTGGAGCCCGGAGCCTGGGGAGGGGCCTCCGGGCCCGGGCCTCCAGGCGGCCAGGCTGAGGGCGGAGGTTGGGGCGCTGCTGCTGGGAGGACCGAGGGCGCCCTTCACGAGGAGGCGTTCACAGCTTGAGGGAGCGGAGGGCCCCCCAGTCCAGGGAGACTTCAGCCCCTGACTGATGACCCCCAGCACCGATCCGGAGCCAAATGCTTGTTTTGTTTTGTTTTTTTGTTGTTTGTTTTTGCTTTCCCGGGACACGGGCAGAATTGAGGCTTTTTAAAGAGTTTGGGTGCCCTTTTTAAACGCAAAGCCAAAGGGGGGGGGGGGAGGAGCTGCTTAAAAAATATTCTTCTTGCAAATTCCTCCGCTTGAACGGACCCCACTTGTACGAGGGCGCTGCCCCGGTGCGGGGCGCGGGGGGACCACCCCGCGGGCGCCCGGGAGGAACTGGCGGGCGGGCTCCCCGCGTCTCCCCCGCGGGCTGCGTCCTGTCCGCTCCGCAGAGGCCTTCCTGGTGCCGGCGCCTTCGGAAGGGAGTGAGGGGGCCTGGGTCCGCGGGGGAGAGAGAGAGGGAGAGGGAGCGGGCCCTTCTTTAAAATGGCCCGAAATTAATGTGATCTCGACATGAGGGTGCACTTGGGGAAGATGAAAGCGGAGGCCGGCGGCTCCTCCGCGAGCCCTATAATTATAGATAATATATCCCATTTCAAAGCAATTAGACCAATCAGGCGTAACGAACCACTTTGCTGCCGACGAATAACAAAGGCGCTTGGTTATTGAAGCCTGGAGACGCGGGGCAGACCCCGAGGCTGGGGGGCGGGGGGGCAACCCAGTGGCTTCTACTGGGCTCTGCCCGGCCGGGCCGGGAAGGCTGGCCCTTCTTTCCGCCCCCCCCACCCCACCCCCGCCCCCAGGCCCGGCCGGCCCAGCGAGGGCCGGTCTCAGTTCCGGCGGGGCGGGGGTTGGGGGGGAGGGGGAGGGAGGAATGGTGGGAAGAGATTT